CCAATCTCTTATACTAAGCCCGTGGGTCTTGTTTAAGCCCATAAAGAGATTTCTTTAGCAAACACACATGATTAGGTCGATCAGGGCCCTGAAACCCCAAAAGTTGATGCAGGTAAACAATTTCCTTGAGTTCTCCATGTAAGAATGCATTTTTTTACGTCAAGTTGATGAATAGACCAATCTTTAGAAAGAGCCAAACTGAGAACTATGCGAATAGTTGCTGCTGGTTTGACCACTAGACTAAACATTTCACCACAATCCACGCCAACCTGTTGAGTTTTACCATCACCTACAAGACGGGCTTTATGCCTCTCAAAAGAACCATCAGATTTGTCTTTATGAGAAAAAATCCACATAGAGCGAATTACATTAACATTAGGTGGACGGGGCACCAACTCCCACGTCTTATTATTAATAAGAGCATTATATTCATCATCAATAGCCTTTTTCCAATTCGGGTCACAAAGTGCAGATATAGGGTTACGAGGTAGTGGGGACTTAGACACAGAGGTAAGAAGAGTGAAGGACTTTTTAGGCTTATAAATCCCATGTGGGCTTCTGGTAACAGGCCTTTTTGGGGGGCTTGGATGTGAGCTTGGAGTTGGGCGAGGGAGAGAGATGAGTAGGAGGGGAGGTGGGGTGGAGGGGCTCGGCCTAGTCGGCATGGGAAGGCTTTATTGCTGGTTGGGCAAGTCAGTTGCTGGATCCGGCAAAATGGGCTCTAGCGAGTTAGGTAAGGGAGTAGCTTGTGGTCTTGTTTGAGTAGAGAAATGATAGACCATGTAGGGAGATGGTCCGTCGTCTAAAAACTCATAAGTGTGATTTTGAGGAGTATGTAACTGTGCAAAGGGAAATTGCATCTCATCAAATATTACGTGACGGCTAATGATGATTTTTTGAGATGATAAATCAAAGCATTTGTACCGACGATGATTCAGAGGATACCCCAAAAAAACACAAGAAGTAGACCGAGGTTGAAGTTTGTTTATGGTTGTAGAAGGAATGAGAGGATAACATAAACACCCAAACACCCGAAGATGAGAATAAGATGGGTCCTTTTGATAAAGGATTCGGAGAGGAGATTGGTAGTTTAATAACTTGTGAGGAAGAATATTGAGGAGGTATGTTGCCATTTGCAAAGCGTGATGCCAAAAAGAAGGGGGGAGAGAAGCATGGGCCAATAAGGTACGGACAATGTTGTTGATTGTATGGATTTGTCTTTCAGCTTTCCCATTTTGAAGGGATGTATGAGGACATGAAAAAGGAAAAGAAATACCATTAGCTTTACAAAATTCCCAAAAATGCTCATTATCAAATTTTGTGTCATTATTACATTGTATATTTTTTATGTCTCGTTCAAATTGAGTTCAGATGAGGGATTTGAAATTCAAAAATATGGAATAAGTTTGTGATTTTTGTGATAAAGGAAATGTCCACAAAAATTTAGAATAATCACCCACAAACAAGACATAATATTTATGACCTGATGAACTCAAAACAGGTGACGTCCAAAGATCACTATGAATAATATCACCCACAAACAAGACATAATATCTATGACCTGATGAACTCAAAACAGGTGACGTCCAAAGATCACTATGAATAATATCAAATGACGTAATAGTGCAAGAATTTGATAATGGGTCTTTTTGGAAATTTTGTAAAGTTAATGGTATTTCCTTTTGTTTTCCTAAGCCCCGCGCCGCGTCCTTCGACTCGAACAGGCCCCAATCGGACCTCCCCGCGCGCCCAGGGCGAAGCCCGATCCGGCAGGACTCCGACACGGTGGTGTCGAGGGGAGTGTCCATGGACAGCCTGAGGATGAACTCCTCCGAGAAGATCATGTTCCAGAGCCTGGAACGGAGCTCGAGCAGCCCCAGCATGTTCAACGGAGGGTCGCGGTTCAAGCACCGCGGAATGCAGCGGTCGTATTCGGCGAGTGTTAGGGTTACGCCGGTTCTCAACGTGCCGCTTTGTTCCCTGAAACTGGTTCGGATTTCGGGTTCAGACAACTCTTCTTGTCGCCGCAGAAGAGAGAGAACAAGGGGCACCAGAGTGGGAGGACTCGGAATTGACGGGAATGCCCTTATTTAAAAAGGGTAACGAGTAACACAACCGATTGACTAGCCTTTTTTCATTTTTTTTTTTACCTTTTTTGCCACTCTGTTGTCTAATCTCGGAATGGAAATATTACACATTATACAAAATATAATTCAGACATTATACAGAATATAATTTAGTTAAAATTAAGAAATAAATTAACTATAAATAAGAAATTAAATATACGCCAAACAAATATTATAATAAATCATAATATATTATCATATATTCTAACATCAATTTTTGTTGATCGAGAGCTAACATTAATCCTTCCACAAGGCCTCCTTCCATTGTACAAAAAGCTAGCAAAACAAGTTAGGAAGCTAATTTTGACACTTACTAGCTGAAAATCATACCTGCTTACAAATATAGGACATGGTAGGTCAAATATAGCCTAATCTTATATTTTAATACGATAATTGCTAATATATAGATAAATGGGTGGGTGAAAATCGGCAATGTTATATGTGTGCTTGTGAAGGAAAAAAAATCTACTCAAAATAACATGTTATGTGTGTGTTTTTCGAAAATATTTATTCAAAAGACTAGGCTTTTATATATATATAT